TTTTTAAATATAACCACACCATCCGTGTTGATATGAACAGTCCATGATGTGTTTAATATGTTGAAAGATGCGAAAAAAAAAATGGAAAATTTGGGGTGACTGTTGTGTTTTGGTTTAATCGTTTGGGGGATGTGGAGGGGTTAGTTCAAAATTGAAATTGAATGGTAGTTTATTGGTATAAATTACATTACTCTCAATAATTTTTCTGTTGTTTTTTACAATGCCCTTTTTTTGTTGTTGTTGCTTAGCTTGGATAAAGATTGAGGCTTTGAATTGAGAGTGAGCTTAATTATTGTTTAGTGTTTATTCTGTTTAGTGTATTTATGGTCTTTGTGGCTAACGGAATCGCTTCTGAAGTCGTAGGTGAGGATTGCAAGGTTTTTTCGTTTTTCTGGTATTGATTCATCAAGTTTGCATGTGGCTGAAAATGGTGTTTCAGTTGCGAGGAACAACACATTTACAAAGTATATTCAAGAATGCGTGGTCGGTTGTTTATGATGTTATAATTTTGTTATCAATTTAAAAAATGTGGTTTGTATTTTTTAGTATTATTTTGGCATTTTGGTGCAATGGGTATTTTTTGTAGCCTAATTGCAGACCTTTCGTTTGCTCATGATTTAGTAGTTGACTGAGTATCCATGTTTATACATACGTTAATCTTTTTTTTGGCAACGTGTTCATTTGGCTAAAATTCTGTGATTAGTTTTCTTCCCTAAAAATTTTCCAATCTGTTTAATTCTATTTTAATATGTATTATTTCTTTGTTCAACATAGATTTGTTGGTGAGGCATTTTGAGTGCTTATCAGTTATTTACTAAAGGTGGTTAATTTTATTCGAACTACTTGAACTTCTTGGGATGCCTGTCTTAAAAGCAAATGGAGAGGGTGTAGCACTGCGTATGCAGTTAAATGACGATGTTGTATCTCATATGCACGAAATGATTTCTTCAATTGTGTTGTATCTACTATATATGTAAACATATTGCTAGCTAATTTTATTGTTATTAACTCTTCCTTCTACCTTTCGATTTTTGTTATGATGTGCATGGTATTGAATTTGGGAGAAAGCTTGCATGCAAACTCTTTTTTGCATGATGTTCTTGAGTGAGTCCCTTGAACTTTAACTTGAAGTTTCTTTATATTCTCAATCACTTTGTTTTATTGCTAGGAAATTCTGAGTGGAAAGAAGTTCAAAGAAAAATACTCAAGCAAAATTACATTTGATCTACAAAAGGTTGGACTGACATATTTCTTAAACAATGAAGGCGTGAAATATAAGTGGACAATTACAATTATTGTTTTCTTGTCAAACCAACTTGCGTCACATATATTACGCCGTTGCTGACATATTTTCTTCCGTTGTTTTCAACAATGCTTTTATGTTGCACCAGGAAAAATCTATTTGAGGATGGGAACCACATGTATCGGTTCTTGGATGATGATTTAATTGAATCTCGGACAGTAATTCAGAATAGGAAGGGATACCGAGTTGAGTTCATGGATTAGAGTAGGTCGGGTTAATTATGCTTTAGCGGATGCTTTCTTTGACTTAATGTCAATTAATTGACGTTTATCATAGTGTGCATGTGCAGATGCTTTTTATTTTTTCAATTGATGCTTTAGCAGTTTCTATTATCTACTTTTTGGGGTATAAATCGTATCTATAATTTCAAAATAAATGTTCTTCATGACAATCTATGGTATTTATGAAATAAATCATGTTAGAGTAATTTTTTTTCCTTTCTCTTCACTGTAATCCAGGCGAAAAGCAGTTGCAGACTTGCAGCAGATGCACTATGCACATAAGTAAAGCATTTTACTATCATGTCCTTCTTGGTTAGTAATTCTGGTATAGCTGATTGATGTTAATGTCAATTGTGTGGTTTTTGTTCCTGGCTTTATGCTTATAGTGCAGTGTATTTTCTATATATACAATTTTCTCCTTTAGTTTCTATTATTTTTCGTTTTTTTTTTCTTCGAGTTATGTATACTATTGATGTTGTTATTGTAGCTTGAGAAGCTGAGCGATATGGAGTGCCAACTTGAGTCATATCTGAAGTTCATTACAGAGGCCTGGCTACAGTTACACCACAAATTACCACACTTTTCTACCAAGAGTATTGCTTTTTTTTTTTTTTTTTTTTTTAATTAAATTTTCTCTATCTCCAGATAGTGGAATGTAGGCGAGTACTAAAATTGACATATGCTGTTGGATGTTATGTGCTGGAGCATGAACATGCCAAGTTGTATTGAGTACTTGCAAGGTACTGTCATTTTCTCAAGCTTAAAGAGAGACAATGCATCATATTGCTTTGTCCTAGTTTACTTTTGTTTCTGCAGGTGAAGCTGAGTCTGGTTTGGAACAACTTCATCAATGTGCAGAAGATGAGCTACAAGTTTACCTCAATGATAAGGACATCAAAAGATTTCAATGAGTTTCGCACAAAACTTGCTGGATTGACCAGGTTATGTTCCACTAAAGATATTACACTACTTTTCTGATTGGATAAGTTGAGTCGGGTTACAATGATATAGCTTTTCAGTTTATTCATACTAAGATTAGTTTTGCTAAGTGGGAATGCCATGATTGAAATTTTATAGAAATGATGAATGGGCCAATCTAAAATACCAAATTTCAGCTGATGAACTCACTCTTATATGACTGTTACTGCATATACTCATTTTTTATTTCGTTGGGTTTTATTTTGGTTTCGCAAAGAACTGAATTTGATCTTATCTATAGCTCTATACGCATGTAGTTTTTCTCTTTTTTGGTCTCGAGTATTTGGTTGGTTATATTTAACAATCTTTTGGAATATAGAGAATCTTTGCACCAATGTTTTATTCCTGGATTTCCTGATGATTTGGTATTGAGATGTTAAGCAAAGGTAGACATGGGAACCGCAGATTGCTCGAAACTATCTCAAAGAAGTGGAGAGATTTGTTACGTAGCTCCAGACTATGCCAATTATGAAGCTCTAGAAAAATGGTGCGGAAATTGGCTGTTTGTCATTGACTAGGTCTAATCCAATAGCTAATAAGTATGCTCCTATATTCGACACTTCAAATATGTCTAGAACTGATGTTATTATTTACTATTTTCATTTTTATAGAAGGAAAGGTATTTCGTTCTTCATTTCTTGCTATATCATCTTGGGTTGTGCAAACTATTCATTACAGGGGATCCCTTCATATATATATCGTTAATTCTTGCTAAGATTTTTGCAGACTGTTTTTGTTATGTCGAAGTTGAAACCTTTTTTTTAGGTTTGTAAATAGATTTCACATGTATGTAAATAGTATATATACACATTGTAACCTTCTACATATTTTTATACGATTTTAAAACCCGCAACACCATGTGGGCATTTTTGCTAGTCATTTCTAAACAAAAACAACAAAGCTTTATCTTACTAAGTGGGATCGGCTATATGTATTTCGTTAGATCCAGGTAGTCCAAGTTTTTTCTTAGAATCTCTGTCCAATTCTACCTAAGTCTTCCTCTACCCCTTGGGCCTTGAGCCTCTGTCTAGTAATTGCAACTTCTTATGGGAGCGTCGTAGGTCTTCGATTCACATGTTCAAACCACCTTAACTAATTTTCTCTCATCTTATCCTTCAACTTTAGCTACTCCTAAGTTTACCTCGGATATCCTCATTCTTAATCTTGTCATTTATCGTGTGCCTATACATCCAATGAACCCTTCTAAAGATAAAAATAAATAAAAAATCAACTATAAATTTGAAACAAATCAAAAACCGTGATTAACGTGAACTAATGGGATTTGCCAAAAAAATATGAAGTAAGCGAAAACTTTGACCTTCACTAAATTAATATTTTATCCAACAATATAAAATTTGCAAGGAACACCGTCGCATCATCTGAATGTGAGATCTTCCCAAATTAATAAGTAAAAGCATTCTCATCCTTGGTCGTTTTAATAGATTATTTTTGCAAAAATTTGTCTAAATCGGAAGTTATTTAACTATTTAATTGTTATTGTGAACATTTCATTGTGTTTTTAGCAACACTATGCTTGTCTAGTTTTACTGTCACAAATTTTTTTCAATTAAACAATAATGTCAAATTTACTCCAGTATTGCTATTATGGAAAGACATTATTGTGAATATATTGATAAATTAAAAATCTTAAGGTATATTTAGTTGAGGAAGCAAAAAATCCAACCCTCACTGTCAAAAAAACCATTAGAAACAACAATAAATGAAAATGGTAGAGCTGGAAACATGATTGACCACTCCTAACTAAGCATAAGAAAATCATTAAAACAACTCCTAGGAGAAGGCTGAAGTTCGGAATCCTTGAAAGATCATGAACCATAGTTCCCGCACACGGAGGACAAGAATACCACCAATTAATCCCAACATAATCTACACAAAAGTTGGCTAAACAATTAGCCAACTGAATAGATCTATTGGAAAGATATGCACTGTCAAAGCAGAATCACACTCAATAAAAAAATGAACGCATATTATGGACAAATTTTTGTAAGAATGATTTATGAAGGAGAATCTAAATAACTGAATGATTTTGGTCATGAAAAAAAATATTATGAAATGAGACCAAACACGTGGTTAACGCGGTATTGAGCACTACTAGCTGGTTGCGATTGAACGCGCACCTTCTCAAAACAGGAGCGACACAATTTTATGCAGCAAAAACAAAAATATCCAAATTACAGCACAATATAAAGCAAGCATATCTGTGAATGTTATCAGAATATAGATAAACTAATATAGAGGTAGATTTTCAGTGTGAGATTGAGAAAAGAAAACTTTCTTGTAAATTATAATACCACCAGCAACAATTGTAATTTATCTTCATATCACAAATCGAAAATTTCAATACGAGCATAGCAATTTTAATTGTAAATGTTCCATATATAATTTACTTTAAACTAGGACAAACAAACAAACAAATATATTATTCATCACCAAAAAGAATAAAAATAGAAGATAACATAAAAGTTTCTGAAAGCCTATCATATGAAATTGCCTGTAACATGTTCTGATGAGCTGCTGTCACTTTTGTCATCAATCCCCACGCATGCATCTCCGTCGAATGCTATAAGGCCATCATACAATTCCGTAGCACCCCTTGAATAATTAGCCAGGTATTCGAAAACCTTGGAGAATCCTTCCTGAAATCCACTCTCAGCGAAATGACGCGTTTTCAACTTTTCTGCCTTTAGCTTCTTTTCCACTTGCCTCTTCTCCTCAATCAACTGCTCCTTCTTCCCTTCATCTACCTTCTTTTTCAAATGCTCCTTGTTTGAGTTTTCACGTATTTTTATGGAAAGTTTGTCAACCGTTTTCTTTAGCTTATGCTCCTCACCTTGTTGAATCATTAGCTCTCGGACATCATTCCCAAACTCTGTCATGGCAGACGTCACATCTTTATATGGAAGTTTATTCAAACAAACTAACCAATGATGATATAGCGAAGGCTTGTCGTTGTTAGCAGCAGCAAACTTGAATAGCCCGTCATTAAGAGCTTCAACATAGGCCTTCAGTGAAGAGACATATGATGTAAAGCAAGCACACCATTTTGAAATTTCTGCTTCAAGCTTATAGTAGGTAGTAAGCTGGTGTGAGTCACCGCAGAACACTCCGTCGGGCACTTTTACTGTCTTCATGATTCTGGTTTGGGCCTCATGATATTCCGACACGATTCTCATATTTCTCATTAGGCAGTGAAACAAGGCAACAAGCTGTGGCTTCATCTCTTTATCTGTTAGCCTATGAATTTCAGAGTACTGTGCTTCTTCTTCTTTTTCAAAAACCTTGATTCTGGCCTCCAACTTCGCTATTCCAGCCCCTGTACTGTCCCTAGTACCCTTGAGCACACCTTCTCTTTTCTTTTCCTTTTGTAATTCCTTCAATTCTTTCCTGGATTCCTCTGTAGCCATCATCGTTTTATGAAGTATTTCAACTTGCTCATATAGTTCCCTTAGCGTGAACGAATGGCCCATGAATGTCTTGCTCCATTGCCATCAGAAATACCACTGTTGAAATAATATTTTGAAGAAGCTTTGGAGCTTGATTTGTGGACGCTTTTGGAGGAACATCTAGACGAGGTGGAGCGTTTTAGTGGCAGTGACCGCTTGAGCTTGTTTGGGTGGTTTCGTGTCGTCAATGAACGCTTGAGCTTGTTCGATTTTTCTTCAATTTCCTCCACAGAAGATTGTATTTGATCCATATTGGCATCAAGCATCTTAGAAACCTCCAAACCAGATTCATATGATTTAATGAAATAGTCCTCAACATCTTTCAATGCTTCCACCAATTCCCTCCCTTGACCCACATCAGAATCACTCAAATTTCCCTCTCTTTTTTCACTACTCTCATCACCAGAACGCCTTTGAGTCTCAACATTGCCTTCTTCTTCTTTGAGATGTTGGGTTTCTTCTCCTACTTTCTCTCTATTTACCTTTGCGGAGCTCATCGAAATTATGGAATCTGAAGACGAGCAATCTTTGGTTTGAGAATGGACGTTTGCAATCCTTAGAGCGATTGCTACTTCGTAAAGCGATCGGTTATACTTGCATAATGCATCCACAAACAGGGACCTTCTCTTTATGGCCAATTCCAGCGCGTCTTTTCTCTGTCCACAAAGCCATAGCGGATCGTTTTGTTCGCTAACACCCGTTACCTTGGATGTGGAGGCAGCACCACCCATGTCTCCAAAATCTAACGCCAAAATCTGTGTTGGAGGCTTGCAACAAGGTTTGTACGGGTTAGAGCTCTCAAAAGTATAAATGTTTTCTTCTGTTTGTTTGTGATTCGTTCATGGGGAGGGCATATATTATATACTGGTGCAAAAGTCTTTGTTTGAATGGGTAATGTAAACTTACTTGTTTGTATTAATCCCATGAGTACGAGGAATATTGGTTTAGGCAGGCCGCAGGTCCCTCTTGTTGTTAGCCGTTTCATCCATGTTCGGACCTTCCTAATCTCCTTGTAAGCATAGGAGAGATTCGAACCTTCCTCTCTTTGGAATAGTGGTCGGGCGGGTCGAATCAGGAATCCTCTTTCCATGTTCAAAGTGCATATTTTGTTTCCTTTTTCCCAGTGATTGAGCGTTGGAATTGAGGATGCTTGGGAGTCTGATAGGAACGTAACAAAGAAGATAGTTATGCAACGGAGCTGCGAATGCGATGGCATCAGCACTATGTGGCGTCGTAAGTGTACGAAGACCTATTTTCGAGTCCCAAAATCTTCATGGAGTACGTACGATCATCACACAGTCATGCCCGAAAATTCAAAAGGAAAGCTGGGACTCCAATTGCACGACCCCGATGCTGGAGGCAGCCATACGGGTTTTGTATAAGTCTTCTCCGAGTCAATTGTTCCTAGTGTTGGTGAGTTGTATGATTTATCTTAGATTTATTATTGTTTTTTATTCTTTCTAAGTTCGGTTTATATTCTGATACTGTTGTTTAATTTGGTTTAGTAATTTTTTTTTTATCTTTGGCGTAGGTTTCTTAATTACTATCTTCTGTGGTTTGGAGTTAACCTTGAACATATTGTTACTAAAGTGTCGCGGTTTTGGAAATGATGGAGGTGGTGAACGCCATATACAGAAGTTGGTTTATGTTGAAGTTTAAACATGTGTGATGCTCTTTCTTCTCTATCCCGAAGTTTTGTCCTATGTGGTTTTCTTCAAGAAGGTTTTTATCAAGGCCCACATTATTCGAGCACACATTTTAGCTTCGTGTCCTTGTTTTTGGCAGACTTCTGTACTTTATAGTTAGTTACATTAGAATTTGTTATGACTTTTTTATTTTATGTTCCGTGATGTTAATTGAGCAGGTGTGTCTTTTAATTAAGACACAACTTTAGTTCATGATCATCACGTTTGAGTTTTGGTAGATTCGTTACCCTATTACTATCTTATGGTGTTTATTATAAGTTATAACATCTAATTCAAAAAATAAATCACATCTTAGTACACAACCCAATGTAGTTTTGTGTATGTTCACATTATCAATGTGTACCGGGCCTAGCTGGTGGTGTTGTTGCATCAGTATCATCAACAGAGCACCAGGCAACAGAGAGCATATGAAGCTAGAATTATTTCTTTGTCAGGGCCTCCGTGTAGGTTTGGGCACCGGCGGTAACCATCAATATATGCTGCAGCATTACAGCCAACGGCCAAGAACTTGTTTTTGGAATCGGATATGGTGAAAGGATTGGGCAGGGAGAGTCTACTTTCCTTCTAATTTTTGTTACCGCATTTACGGGCTATAGGTTGCAAAATGTGCAACTCACCATCAAGAGATATGTTAGTAACCCTCACTAGACTGTCTTTAGCCCTCACCAGAGGTATTGGCCTTATTGAGGGTTCGTCGACATTAACATTAATGTCAGCAGGAGTAGTAGAAGTACAATTGGTACAGAATTCTGGTTCGCGGTAACAACCTTCGGCCATGCCAAATGGATAGGGAATTGTGACATTACCGCAGCGGTCGGAGCAGACAGGCAGGGCTTAGGAGGCAGGAGGAATTGACGATGATCTCCTCCGGATGTTGTTGATGTTGAATGATAATCTTGCCTTGGCCCAAGAGAATTGATCCAGCCTATGCAAAAAGAAAGATTCACGCATATGGTAGAGAATTCTAGCAAAGTTTTGTAAGTCGGTGGGAGTGTGTATGATCATGCACTGGAAAGTTCTAGAAAAATTTGTTGGATAGTGGCCAAATTAGGCTAGGAAACAAAACAAAATTGATGAGGGAACATTATGATGAGGATTATGTTTCCTTGTTTTGTGGCTTGTTTTGTTCCTTGTTTTGTGGCTTGTCTTGTTCCTTGTTTTGTGGCTTTTTCAAAGCCATAATTATTTGGCTTTCGGGTGGAAGAAAGGAGGAGAAGAAAATGGGCTGATTTTTATTTAAAGGCTTGCCGAGTGAAAAGAGAGTATAAGGAGGAGAACAAAAGAAAAAATTAGAGAGTGAGAGTAAGGAACTCTTGGGGTAGAGTGAGGCTCTTGAGAAAATTCTGTGAGTGGGTGTACAAGGGATATGGGATTGGGTTATGTTGATTTAACTCATGTGTAACTTGTACTGTTTTTCTCATAGTGAAAAGCAATATCTCTCCGAGGACGTAGGCAGGTTTTTGCCGAACCTCGTAAATTTCTCAGTGTCTTTATTTCTTGTATTTTAAACTATTCAACTGTGGGTTTGTATGTTGGTGAGATAATTAGCCAAGACACAACAAAATTGTGAGGACATTATGCAAGCCTATGTCGATTTGCATGCTAGAAAGGTCTAGCTGATTGTAAATTTGTGTGGTTCCCAAAGACGGTGGGCAGTAGTAAGTCAGCAAAGTATGCCTATAAATAAAGTTATGTGTGGTGTTGTGATGTAAAACTTAAGAAAGTAAGCAAGAAGTGAGAAAAAGAGTGAAGAAGCGTAAGAGTGTTTGAGTGTTTCCTCTTGTACTAAGTTTTTGTGAGAATAAAATATTTATGTAATACTTTGAGTGTTTTTTCTTTCTCTTGTCTATCAATTCCGCTGCATTACATTCTTCTTTGTGAGATAAACATCTCCAAAGTAGTGAAGTCTTTTTAAGCTTCAACTATTGATGTAGTTGATAATACAAACACCAGTTCCAGTACTAGCAATGAGACTAGACGCAGATTTAGCATTCCATATTGTAAGGATTGAAATCAAACCCCTTCCATATCTTGTATGGTACTTTTGTTTTGGCTGTGGGAGTAGAATTGAGAGTTGGGTTTTAAAACCTAGGGAGTTGTTGGGGAAGGAAGACCGGCAAAAGAAAAAAAGTTGGGCAGAAAAGTGAAGAACATGCGGTAAGAATGAAAGGGACTTTATGTCAGCCCCTAATTTATCTCCCATTCGACATAAGAGTTACTCTTTTCTTCATCTGGTTCTAAGACTGACCAGATAAATCACAGATCTTTGATACATGTATGGCAACTTTAATCATCTTAATTAGTAACTAGTCTTCACACTGAAGCGCGTGCAGAAGATATTTTTTTAATCACGACGTGCTACTCACGACCTATATGTTTTAAATGTATTTATATGCATAAATTGACAAGAGGAAAGTCAAATATTTAAAGTAAATGAATAATTTTAGATCATGCTAGAAGAAATTCCTCATAAACCAATTAAAACAGCTGAATTCATATAATAAAATCAGTCTCTATAAAATTTACATTAAGAATAAAGAAAATAATATTTAATAAACAATTGATTGAATCATATTATTGCTAACTTATTGTGAGGCTAAATCCACCTCCTTCCCCTTAGTATAGATAATATCATTTATTTAAAAAAAATATTTGACAATTAATTTAATCACATTGTTATCCGTGTGAGAAATACATTTTTTATAATTAGCACTACACGTCCCTTAAGATGTTTTAAACATGTTTAAAAATAGAGAAAATGATATTTAATAAATAACTGATTGGATCACATTATTGCAAGTCCATTGTGAGGTTAAACCCACCCCCCTCTCCCTTAGTGTAGATAATATTATTTGTTAAAAAAAAAACAATTATTTGATAACTTATTTAATCACATTGTTATCCGCGTGCGAAAAACTTTTTTTATAACCGGCATTACATGCCTCTCAAGATGTTTTGAACGTGTTTAAAAATAAAGAAATTGAATCACATTATTGCTAGTTTATTGTGAGGTATTAATTTAAAAAAAAACACCAAAAAGTAAATTATTAAACAAATACTGTTAAAATGATTAAAATGCCCCTGCATTATTTGATGTATTATTTTGGAATACTTTTAAAGTTTTTTGTTTTGAGGGCATTTTTGTTCAAATATTTTTGTTGAAGCATGATGACTAGGGGTGGAAAAAATTCCCGAAAATCCCGAACCGAACCGAAAAAATCCCGATCCCAAACCAAAAATTTCCCAAACCGAAAT